AGATAAAGCTATTGCCGATTGAATTCCATTATTTTTACATTTTCATAAGCCCTTCTGTAGGGAGAGAGCAAAAGTTCATGTCCGCAGTTAGTTTATGATTCCGAACAGTATAACGAACTGATTGGAACAAAAATTCTTAAAAGCTTTGCAAATTAAAAGTCGCTTTTATAGATTTACTATCTCATTTCTGTCTTTTCTTGGTGGAAAAAAAGTTTTTTCTTACTTGATCAATGCTTCCACGTAGACCTCCATCGTTGGAGTTGTGACGATGATATTTGGCACTTCTAACTCGATCAGTGCATTCGCTGCTTGGCTTGAATATGCAGCCACTGGTAGTTCAGCAACGGTCAGCATCGTTGCCACCGATGTCGATGACATATAGTCCTTCGGTGCTATCAGGCCTGCAAGGGAATTGTTAGCTAGATAGACGAAGTGGTTTTTGCAGACATAGAAAAATTCCTCAGACTCTTCCGAAAGCTTTCTCTACTTCAGAAGTGGAATGGGAGCTTTGCAAGTTCTTGTTATAGTTTAGGCAATAAAATATGGGGTGTCCCAAAAGCATCTACAACTGTTTCAATTTTGATATCTCTTTTCCCATAAAGCCGTCAGCGGACCGCCAGGTATCATTCTTAAAAATAGATTTTGAAATTTAACAAGTTACTGATTTGTCCACATTAGTGTAGGATTACGATAGGGACTTTGTAGAGGGTTTTGAGCTATTGTGGGGCATGGCCACAAAAGAAAACCAAACAATTTGAAACTTTCACATATAATCAGAGTCCAATAGCGACTTTGATCATATGCGAAAGTTCGCAATACGTACTTCACAAGTCTCTGACGTTTATTTCCGAAGTTATGCCAGGTACGTTGTAACAACGTATTTTCCAGATATTTCCTAAAAATGTTACATTATTTAGGAAGCTCAGAAACTCGTAAGAAGTTGTGTACTGATTTCAGCATGCGTGCAACACTGCTGAACCAGTAAGAATTTTTTGAAATTCTCCTTCAAACGGCTTGCTTCACGACTATGCTGAATATTCCTACCGCATTCCTACAGTAATGAAGAAAGATCGATGAATCGCGCCATGCTGTAAATCTGAGTTATAGCCAACAATTCAAAATGGTATTAAAAGTCGGCAAAAGATTTCGTGGGTGTGTGTACACACTTTTGAATCACCGTGAATTTTTTTTCAACAAATTTCTGGCATTCTCTTCGCTTGAAGTCTGCCATCAAATCCTAATTCCTCTTTTTTGGGAGAGGCTTTGCAAAATGCATCAGAAATTGTAAACTAGTAAAGAATAAGGATGAAAAAAATGAATAAAGATGAATATGTCGTGACGTCGCCGTAGTTTTGACGGCGAATGGCTTATATATTACTCTGGTGTCAATGGACAGATCTTCACTCAGTTCTTCTAATTCATCGTGTCCCGAGCATCTGCAGAAAACTCCACATGAGGAAACCTTGGAAAATTTCAGGTTTCGCTGATTATTGCTGGTAAAAATTTCTTCCCTACTTCATCTTCGCAACAGCATCTACATAATATCACAAGGTTTTCGTACTATCGACGAACTGCTTTTTAGCTTTTTCTTTGCGTATTTCTACAGGCCCGCTCTGTTATTTTGGTCATATCTGATCGTTAGGATTAGCCATTTAGCTTTAAAACCGACATTTAACAGGCCAGTGCTCTCAGTTTGATTGATGCTTGAGCGACACTTGCAGAAAACGTGTGTCAGTAATGTGATGGCATTTTCGCGAAAAGAAGCTCTGGTTATTACATGACTCTATGGAGAAAAAGCATGCGCCCAAGGGTAATTAAGATTGATTTTTCACTACCCATCTAAAGATTAACCAAATCAGAATGCAAATTCGCTTAGCATTCTTGTAATCAGAATGTGTCGTGATAAACACACGACCCAAACCCACTATTCTAAC